GTATGGAGACAAGGTGGGTAGTCCTCGGTGAAGAAAAAACAGATTAAGAACTATTTAGAAAAGCTTGACTCTCACAAATCCATGGGCTAGATCTAAAACATCTGAGCATGCTGACAGAGCTGGCTGATGTGACTGCAGAGCCATTGGACATTATCTCTGAAAACTCATGGCAATCAGGGGAGATTCTGGATGATTGGAAAAAGGAAAACATAGTGCCCATCTTTTAAAAGAGGAAGAAGGAGAATCCAGGAAATTATAAATTGGTCAGCCTCACCTCAGTCCCCAGGAAAAATCATGGAAGGGATCTACAAGGAATCCATTTTGAAGCACTTGGAAGAGAAGAAATTGATCAGGAATAGTCAACATGGATTCAGCAAGGACAAGTCCTGCCTGACCAACACATTTCCGTCTTATGACAAGGTAATTGGCTTTGTGGACATGGGGAAGGCAGTGGATGTGATATACCTCGACTTTAGCAAAGCTTTTGATACAGTCTCCCACAATATTCTTGCCAGCAAGTTAAAGAAGTATGGATTGGATAAATGGACTATCAGGTGGATAGAAAGCTGGCTAGATCATAGGGCCCAATAGGTAGTGATCAACGGCTAGATGTCTGGTTAGCAGTCAGTTTCAAGTGGAGTGCCCCAAGGGTTGGTTCTGGGACCAGTTATGTTCAACATCTTTATTAATGACCTGGATGTGGGGATGGATTGCACCCTCAGCAAGTTTGAAGATGACACTAAGCTAGTTAGATACGTTGGAGGGCAGGGATAGCATCCAGAGTGACCTAGACAAATTGGAGGATTGGGCCAAAAGAAATCTGATGAGGTTCAACAAGGACAAGGGATGGGAGATTCCAAAGCACTGCTATAGGCTGGGGACCAACTGACTAAGCAGCAGTTTCACAGAAAAAGACCTGGGGATTACTGTGGATGAGAAGTTGGATATGAGTCAACAGTGTGACCTTGTAGCTAAAAAGGCTAGCAGTATGTTGGGGTGCATTAATAGGAGCATTGCCAGTTGATCTTTGGAAATTATTATTCCTCTTTATTCAGCACTAGTGAGGCCACTTTTGGAGTAGTGTGTCCAATTCTGGGGTTCCCATTACGTAAAGGATGTGGACGCACTGGAGAGAGTCCAGTGAAAGGTAACAAAAATGGTTAGGGGGCTACAGCACAAGACTTATGAGGAGAGGCCGAGGAATTTGGATTTATTTAGTCTACAGAAGAATGAGGTGGGATTTCATTGCAGCCTTCAACTACCTGAAGGGGGGTTCAAAAGAGGATGGAGAGAGGCTGTTCTCAGTGGTGACAGATGACAGAAGGAGGAGCAGTAGGGGAGGTCTAGGTTGGATATTAGAAAAAAACTATTTAAATAGGAGGGTGGTGAAGCACTGGGATGGGTTACCTGGGGAAGTGGTGGAATCTCGATCCCTAGAGGTTTTTACATCCCGGCTTGACAAAGCCTTGCCTGGAATGATACAGTTGGGGACTGGACTTGGTGAACTCCTGAGGACTCTTCCAACTCTGTTTTTCTATGATTAGTTGCCAATATTGCCAGTGTTGAAAAGACAGGGAAGCTTAGCAAGCAAGAGATTGGCTTGTGCAGTAGACCAAACATACAACTCTGAGACCAAGGTACTACTGTATTCTAATCCTAGTTCTGAGCATAAAGTTAGCATATTTTGTTTGGGGCTAATTTTGTTGGAGCAGTCAAGACATTTAGAAAATTTGCTATTTAAAAAAATATTGGAACAGAAGGGATGTGTACAGGGGCTTCCAGTATACTAGGCGGGGGAAGGCATCGCCTTCCCAAACTGCGGGTATGTCTACACTAACACCCTAGTTCGAACTAGGGTGGTAATGTAGGCAACCGGAGTTGCAAATGAAGCCCAGGATTTGAATTTCCTGGGCTTCATTTGCATAAAGCCGGGCGCCGCCATTTTTAAATGTCTGCTAGTGCAGACTCCATGCCGCACGGCTACACGCGGCACAGACTAGGTAGTTCGGACTAGGCTTCCTAGTTTCACGAGGAGTAACGGTAGTTCGGATTCATTCTACAGGATTCATTCTACAGGAGGCATTCTGGGGATGGAGCATTGCTGCTGCCAGTGTATGGTGGAGAGGCTGGAGCCACATGTCCTCTTCCCTCTCCATGCTCCAGGGCTGGGGCTGCCCTCATTCCACAAGGAGTAACGGTAGTTTGAATTAGGATCTTTAATTCCAACTACTTAGTCCGTGCTGCATGTAGCCGCGGGCAAGGAGTTCGGACAAAGGGGGATTTAAAAATGGCAGCACCCGGGAACATGCAAATGAAGCCCAGGATATTTAAATCCCAGGCTTCATTTGCAACTCCGCTTGCCCTAATTACCCTACCTAGCTCAAACTAACAAGCTAGTGTAGACGTATTCCTAGATCCTCTTCCTGTACCACAAACCCGTCATCTCCAGCCCCACCTTGGAGCCCTCACCCACTCCTGCCCCCTAGTTTTCTGCCACAGCCTGGTGAAAATGAGCAGGGGTTTGTCTACACAGCAAAGTTATTTCGCAATAACAGCCATTATTTCAAAATAACTTTACTAGCATCTACACAGCCAAACTGCTATTTCGAAATTAAATCGAAATAGTGGAGTGCTTATTTCGAGTTTGGTAAACCTCATTCTATGAGGAATAATGCCAAATTCGGAATAGCTATTTCAAATTAAGTGCTGTGTAGACATTTATTTCAAAATAGGGGGCCTCCAGCGTTCCCAGGGTACCCTGGTGGCCACTCCAGCCTCAACCAAGAACACTCCTCTCCCTCCCTCCTCCCCAGATCCCTTAAAGGGATTGACTCTGGCCACAGTGACAGTGTCAGCTCCAAGCCTGCCAGCCCAGAGCCAGCAGTCACTGCTCCGACCCAGTGGCCCCAAAAAATGACCCAGCAAGCCACTGGCAGCCAGCCCTCCACCGCTCCCCAGGAGCAGTCTGCCAGCTCCCAGGAGCCTGACA